CCCCAAAACCCCAAAACCCCAAAACCCCTTAGGCTTATTAATTTATTGAATTTAAAGAGCGAATATGTCCAAAGAGCATTCTAAAGGTAGATGGATGGGGTATATGGTAGTGATAGGGTAGAAATGAAGGAGTTTTATTGCTTTTGGAGAAATTTATGTGGGGTTATTAGGAGGCGTAAGTTTTAGCTTCGTGTTTTAGATATCGATTGTCATAGTAGTAATGAGAGTTTGGAATAGTGAATTAAAAACCATTCGTCTGGGATTTAAAAGAGAGCTAGTTGTTTTCTTATCATAGAACAATTGTCATTTCTGATCATTTTTAATCAAAAGACTGATCGGATGAAAATATGAATAAGACAATGTATTTTACAGTTTTAATGACTTCTTCAAAACCTTTTCTATCTATGACAACACAATATTGGTCCTATAGGCAAAAATATGGCAGCAAGGTGCCTAAAAATTAGAAAATGAACAAGAATGGCTGAGGAGTTATTGAGAAGAAACAATTCTTTAAGCAAAACAAACTTCAAGGTATTTCATCTGCTCTGAATTCCCTTGCAATTGCTCAGATTCTTCCTGAGGTTTAACAGTTTCCTATTAGGAATAAGACTCTCAGATTTTGATTGTTGTTATAGGATATGAACAAACTTAGATTAAATTACTGTCAACAGCCCTCAGTGAGCCAAGCTTCTAACTATAGGTTTCCCTCAAATTGATCAAAGAGATTCAGTTCAGCAAGAAGAAGTTCTCTCTAAAGTTCGCCCCAAAGCTCACATATTTAGCCTGAGTAATTCTTTGGTGAGCATGCTCAACATGTTTGGTAGAAGAAACTACAGTTTTGAAGAAAGTGGAGATTCCCAGCAGAAGTCATATTGATATCCTTCCGACCAAACCCAAGAGAATTCATGCAACCTGTACATGATAGAGGCCTTATTTTCCAAGCTGCAAGCTGATTTTAGCCTGCTTGATTCGTTAATTAACTTATTGATCAAGGGTTGAATAACACAGGATGCTGCAATCATTTCTGAGCGGAAGACTAAATAAGAGTTCCTCAAAGGAAGTTATGAAAAGGAACAAAAGCGAGAAATTGCAATCAAAAAATTTCTGACATGTAAGTAGGATTTAAAGGAGATTATTATGTATGTTCTAGATTGATGCCAAGAGTAAAACAGCACTCAAAGCCAACTTTAAACCCGCAATGAATATCAAAGGAAGTATCCAGAAAGCTATTGATAATTGCTCTTTGGAAATTGATGTGTATAAACCTCCAAAGTAAGCTATTTGAATGTTACTTTAATTAATTATTTAGAAATAGAAAGAGCTTAGAGAAATCAAGCAAAGGCAATAAAAAGCCTAAAGTGACAAGCTATGCTAATAATATCTGATATTCTTATAAGAAGTCTTCAAATGTATATAAGACATTACATAATGGAGCTCTTGAGACAATAAAAGGTAGTACTTTGTTGTTAGTAGTTAATTTCAAATTAATTTTATCATCTGGACAATAAAACCTTAACAAAACTCCAACGGGAGAATTCTATGTATTACTCTTGATGGACTTCTCATGTTAAGATCCTGATTATAAATATCCTTATCAGGTCAAAACCCAATCTTACATTGAATAGGTGGTCGCAGTAAGCGTAACGACCCATTTCGGGATAGTAGCATGCAATACTTTGGAAGTTACAAGCCAAAGCCTAAGTAAGCATGACTGCATATCCTCCAAACTACTTTTTAGGAAGCAAAATCTTATGAACAACTCTCTTGTGTTCAGTGATTTCCAAAAGCCTCTTTCAAATACGCTTGGAAAATGTAGTAGTAATAAACAGGTTGGAGAAGACAACTGAGTTGACAGAGTAAGCCTTCCCCCGTAGCTCTTATATCCTTTATTGTGGCCGGGCTTATAACAATGTAGAAAATCAGGAAAGAACACGCTATCAGCGAGAAGAAAGCCAAGAAATTACAGAGTGAGAGGCCTAGCCAAGTATGTGATAAGATTTGATAGTTTTCTCATAAATTTAAAATGATTTGAATTACAATTTGATTTTAAATCTTATTACTACAGGCAAAGAACAAGTCTAAGCATAAAAGGAACAAATCGATATTTACCTCAACTCATGAGGATTCTCAGGATAAAAAGAACCAGGAAATCTGTAAAAGAGTATTAGAAACAATGCAGAGAGCTCAATCCCAGCCAAAGCAAGCTAAGATCCAGATGGTTGATGATTTCTCTGAAGACATCCAGGTTCTTGCTGGAAAAATTGAAAAGGAGCATCAAAAAGAGAGCTTTGGTAATTCTCAAACTCATTCTTTAGGAAAACAGTTCAGTGTTTCAAATAACATGAATAATGCTCAACTGGGCAACTTTATAAACTCAGCTGAAGGCTCAAAGAAAGATCTGGTTATGATTAATGAAGAAATGGAAAATTCCTCTTAAAATTTTGTACGAAACTGATTCTGTATTTTACTCAGAGTCTCAAATTCTTCAATTTAAAATTTAATTATGGGGTTTTGGGGTTTTGGGGTTTTGGGG